TCAAGAGAGGTGATTCTCCCCCGATACTCTGTTCTTGTGAGACTCCATCTCGAATACTGCGTCCAGTTCTGGTGCCCCCACCATAAAAGGGACATAGATCTGTTGGAGCGTGTTCAGAGGAGGGCCACAAGGATGATCCAGGGGCTGGAGCACCTCTGCTACGAGGACAGGCTGCGGGGGGTGGGATTGAAGACTTTGGGGGGAGCTAATAGCTGCCTTCCAATACCTGAAGGGAACCTACAGGAAGGCTGGGGAGGGACTTTTTACAAGAGTGTCCACTGATAGTAGGACAAGGGGAAATGGGTTTAAGTTGAAGGAGAATAGATTTAGACTGGATCTTAGGAAGAAGTTCTTCAGTACGAGGGTGGCAAGACTTTGGAATAAATTGCCCAGAGATGTTGTGGCTGCCCGCTCCCTGGAGGTGTTCAAGGCCAAGTTGGACAAGGCCTTGAGTAGCCTGATCTGGTTGAGAGGCGTCCCTGCCCATGACAGGGAAGTTGGATTAGATGATCTCTAAGATACAACTTAGGCTGTTCTATGATTTGAGACTTACGGAATTTGCTTTTCCTTTGTGTCAGCTGAAGCTTAGTGAAGGCAAATCAGGCCATGGTTAGCACTATGGACTGCTTATCTGGTGTTCTCAGGTGAACTTTTGGCTCTAACTTCAGTTCTGACTGTGTAAGAATATCAGTTGTGATCTTTTTCGAAGCTCATTTGTGCTATAAAACAGCATAGTCATCTTTTACTGGGGAAAGAGAAACCAGCATAGACTGGATTTATTTAAGTGTGCATGTGTAAACAAGGCATACTTTCTAAACATGTGAGCTTCCCAGTTTATTGGACTGAAGCTAAATAGGATTATGCAGAGAAGAATGTTTTGGCAGGAATACAATTTGTGACATAAATTCCTGGTTAGGTTTTTGGAAGGTGATTTTTAGTACACAGCTCATCATAAAGTTGTCATTTGAAGGAGAAATGACCAGAGATTTCTAGGAAGAATGTCAGGTTGAAAAATATTTTGGGATATTCTCAGTGTTTCCTCTGGAAGAAAATACATTTTGGCAGTGTTATGCTGCAGCAAAATGGCTTATAAGCAGTGCTAGGTAACTCTGTTCATTCTGCTAAAGAGGGCGTGTGACAGCAAGGGTTTCTCAGGGACCAAAGATTGAGAAAATGTATTTCATTACCCTCTGGAGCAGTAGCCAGTTAATCTTCATGTACATAATGACTACTGGTTACACATCTATGCCCATACAGATTTTTCTGACCAGTATTGCAGTTCAAGTGACCATTTGTTTATTTTTGTAATGTCGACTTAATTTTGTGAAATCATACAGGACTTGGTGATCGCGTGAAAAATTAAAAGAAAATTACTCTTGTGCTGTTGAGGATTGGATTGAGTCTTTTTATTGCAATGAAAAAATTGGCATGTAATCTTTCAAGTCAGTCATTGGTGACACAGGGACTAGACACAAGGACTAATTCTAAAAGTATGTGTAAATCAGAGAGGAGGGAAAAAACTATCTCAAGCTGGACTGTGATAAGGCTATAAAATCCCTCAAAAATTTTGGCTGCAGAAAGATCACCTTTCCCTTTCTGCTTTATTCCTCTTCCTCTTTCCAATCAAGAATTTTCTGCCTGCTTTCTTCTTTCCTGGCTCTCCTTAGCAGGGGGAAAAAAAAAAAAAAGAGGGCTGGACCATAGTAATCCTAACTGGTTTGGGCTTGTGTAATGAGTAGACTTGGTTTCTGCCAGCCTCTTTGCCCCATTTTTTTGTTGTGGGTTTTTTTTTTTTTTTTTATAATCTTCCTCTTGTGAGCAGCTTCCTTTGTCCTTGCTTACAACTTCCAGTCTGAAGATCCTATGTGGTTTTTGGTAGCTCCACTCTGAAGGGTGGCGGTGAAGCCATAGGGCTCTACTGCACTCTGGGAGGTGGTGATTGCAGAGGCTGGAGCTCTAACAGTTTCAGACCTAACTATGAAGTAATAAAATGTAGAATGTAGACACCTAAATTTCTTTCCTGGCTGTAGGTTCATTTGTTGGGGTTTTTTTTATTATTATTCCTTTTATTTTTAAATCAGTGGATGTCGCACTTGCTGAAATTATATATTCTCTGTAGCAGTATGTTACTGAAAAGTGGTTTAGTTGCAGCAGTGATCTTGTTTGTCAAAAGGTCTTTAAAGTGAGTTGTAGTTTTCTTATTATAATGCAAACTAACTCATGCTGCACATAGTTCTAGAAATGAAGCCTTACATTTAGTGCTACACTAATACAAGTATGCAGTTACAAAAGCCAGTCAGATTAGCCAGAGCTGTGTAAATATTGATGCATTCTGAGTTTTAGCGTGGAGGACATGTGTTGAAAAATCATTGGAATAGTTACTAACTATGTAGCCTCATGCTTTTGGACTAGAAGCTGTACTGGTAGTAGAGAATCCTACTCAGGATCCAATGCCAGAATATAAAGTTTTGTGTAAAAATAAAAAGATGTGCTCAATTGTGATAGTGTCTTTGCTGGGAATATGGTACCACTGTTTGATGCTTACAATGGTTTTTTGCCTCCCTGTCAGCATATACCAGAATGACTTCATCCTGCTGGAGTGCTACTTCACAAAAATTAAAAGACTTTTCAGTCATTAGAATATTCCTAATTTAGATTGTGTAAATATCTTACAAAAGAAAGAATAACTTAAATGATGACAAAGCTATACAGCGGTGCTTAAAATGCAAGAGTGAAGGAAAAGTCCTGTTCCCTAGTTTATAGCAACTTGAAAATCCTATCTGATGTACCAATTCCTTCATTTCTTTTAGAGTACTATCAGAAAGGGAATTCAGAAATAAGTTATAAAATTGTAAAGAGCTGTTTCTGATCAAATTGTAAGATGAAAAAATCTACAATATTATTTGTGTGGTAACTTTTTTGCACAAGTAGTTTCTGTAATTCCATACTATCTGAAGTTAATAGTTCTGAGACTGACTGACCTTTGGTTTCAGAGCTTGCTGACTTAAGCTTTCAGATTCTTGTGTTATCATGTAGTAAGCCTACTTCTAACTGCCTTGTTCGTTAAATGTGAAGAGTCAAATTGTTGAGTCTACTGCAGCTTATCTGCCTGTATGCATTCCCATTCCACACAGTGCACCTAAAGACAAATTAGATTTCCAAGGTTACTTTCTGTGAAAATACCTTTGTGTGCCAAATTACTAGTGTTACCGTGATGTTTAAGAGCACAGTGTTGTAAACCATAACTCTGCTTATATCTCAGAGGGTTACACGAGAATTGGATAGGGATGAACAGGATAGTAGTGGATTTTGATTGAACAGATTGCTCCTCCCCAAGAAGATCTTATCTTCCTGATCCTCATTTTAGCCGTTCCTGTGACTTGCGACCCACAAGATGTATACAACAGTTGTTTGAGCTCTAAGATTTCTTCTTCAGTGTGAGCTCCTTTTGGAGCCAACATATTCCCAATCACCCTTAAGCCTCTTGCGGAATAGAGCAAAGCTCAGTGTGCAGCTGCGTGACCCCGTGGCAGTGTTGGTCTCGGTGGTGTTTGCTGTTGCCTTTTTGGTAGCCAGGACTTGGAGAATTCCGGGTGACCTATGGCTGCCCAATCTGACTGCAGTCACCTGATATACCTCCTGCTTAGGTGACTATTATGGCACTTGGACTGGCTGAAGCTTGAAAACCTGAGGCTGCTCACCCTTAGTAGAACTACTGATCCTTACATTTATCTTGTGATTTAGTAATTGAAATGTTGAGCCAAACTAGCGAATTTAATCCATCTCTAACTTGCCTACACTAGTCTTTATTCCAGACCCTGCAATACTGCAGATTTGTATTCTGTGCTACCTTTACTCTTAACCTTAATTAGATATATGTCATTTTTGCTTTCTCTTCCGCAGGGACAAGGCTGGTGGGTATGGAATCCAGGCACTTGGTGGAATGTTAGTTGAGTACGTCCACGGAGACTTCCTGAATGTGGTGGGATTTCCTCTGAATCACTTCTGCAAAAAGCTAGCAGAATTGTACTATCCACCCTCCAAACATAATGTACAACATAAAAAGTATGACTCTATCCCTTCTGTGGACACTTTTGAGAACCTAAGTGATGGAGAAGGTGAATCCTCGAGTTTCACAGAGCACAAAGATGCTAGTAAGTTGGAGAGCAGTGGGATGTCTTCCTCGGGAGCTACTTACAAATCTGACAACTGTTCTAGTGTCAGAGCTGGTTTTATGGTACCTTTGGAAAATCAGAATGGAGTGTCGGAAAGTGCAGTAAAACTTCCATCTAAAATTCTTGAGCTGATGGATGGTTTTAGAGCTTCAAAGGTAAGGGAGGAAATAAAACTACTCATTATACTGCTGACTGATATTACTCATTACACTGCTGACTAATATGATTGTTTCACTGGAGTTCAGTATAGAGCAGGTAATGTGAAATACTTTGTCTGGAGGAAGAATGTATTCATGATTAGTATAAAAGGACCGCTGAAGTACCAGAAAATCTAAGATAGCTGAAACTTCTGGTGCAGTGCAAACATTGGGTGTTTTTTGTATTTGCAGTTATCTGTTCTATGAAATTTCAGTTACTCATTTGATAAAAAAATAGTTGATTTGAGAGGGAAAAAAAAATTGAGGTTTTTTTTTTTTTTTACTGATCACAAGAGCACAGTCAAGCAGGAAGTTACCTTTTATGTACTCTGCAAAGAAAATATTTCATATGGTTAATTTATCTGACTTAAAACCATGACAAGAATTGCATGTATTATACTTCTGTTCTAACTTTTAATGCTTAGCATTAGAATTCTGTGCAAGACTTTTTTTTCCTCTTAAGGAGATTGTTTTTTGTACCGTTGCATGTTCTGGATATGTTTAGCTGATAATCTCCATGCAGTTTCTCATGGAGACATGTGCATAACAGCTTGCGAACAGGTCACATGCTCTGTGTTTGCAGCCAAGGGTGGTGGGAAATGAGTAGCTTGCAGTTGTAAGTGCTGCCAAGTTTTCTGCTCACAGCTCCAGGGTAGCGAAGACAGTTGTGAAGAAGGTGAAGGAGAAATTAACACCAGTAATTCTAGTAGATCACTGTTCTCCATCATGTCACTCATATTTTAGAAGGAGATGACAAAAATGCTGAAGTGGTAGTGAAATGACAAATGTGGAACTAAAGATACAACAGATTTGAGGGTGGATGAGGGAAACACGTAAGACGGTGGATGATGGTTCTAATGAAACAGCAGAAAGCTGTACTTGAACCTGAAGGAAAACCATGGCGTGGTCACTGTAGATCTATGAATGTGCTGCTTGCAGGCAGGCAAAGCTTTGCTCATGAGAGATGTGGAATAAAGCAGCCTTCAGATTGCTGTGTTTGTGAACTTCCTTGTATATCCACAGGGAGCAAGTTTTGATCTATTTGAATGGGTAGGATGATGCTTAGCATTTCTTCAATTGAAGTGAAAAAAAGCAACCAAACAAACAGAGAATCATCAGCATTTTGTTGCACATTGTGTATGCTGTTTGCAGTGATGTGATGCTGAATTTGGTTTTGTGCAGTGAAAGATAGTGGAAGCTGTAAATAGAAGCAGAAACTTTCATTTCACAGAAATCCAGTGTAAAATCATAGTATGAAGTGCCGAGTTTCATGTTGAACCAGTGAGAAATTCTTTGTTCAGGGCTTAGAGCTTTGTAAAATTAGTTACTGGTTGCAATGAATGCTTCTTGTGAACTGTCAAAACTCATGACCTCTTTACTCGTAGAACAGTAGTAAGAGCACAAAAGCATGTAGTTTTACAAAAGCTCTCGAGTTCTATTTCATTTTGATCCTTGAGTGTTGTTTCAAGGACTTCATAAAGTGGAGATAAATCTCCTGCAGGCAAAAATGTTGCTGCCTATTTCATTCTGAACAGCTGCTGTTGCAGAACACAAGAGGATCAAGGTTAAATCATACTTTCTCAAACTTAGTGTGTTCTGAATTTGCATAGTCTGATCCATACTCAGATCTCTGAGGATTTCTCTTCTTTCATTTTTCTTTTTTACCCTGCTCCTTGAACTCAAAATTACAGAGTACTAGAAAGAGTGATTTGGATCAACCAAGTTTTTTGACCCTATCTTTTCACCTTCTTTTTCCTGTTTTTATAGTTTCCAGGTGGTATCAGTCCAAAGATTGGGAAGGTCTTGGAAGCCCAAATTGTTGTAGACTTAGATGCAATTGGCTGAGTACTGTGAAAGCCTGGATTATAATAAATACCAGTTATACATTCTTATTTAGAATAAGAAGAAACTGTAAAAAGAGGATGAAGATGATAAAATATAGACAAACAGTAGCAGACTTTCCTCTCAAAGTTAATCTCTTCTCAATTTGGTTTATATTAAAAGGAATGTCAATCCATTTTTTTTTTTCCTTGACAGCCGCTGGTTTTTAAGTGCATTATAGTTGTCTGCAATTGCAAAGAAATGGATTCTGTAATTGCTGTGTGTGCTTCCACTCTTGTGTTCTGCACAGGTTCCTTGGGTTTAGGCATTATAACTGTTTCAGAATACTGAAACTGCAGAATTGCAAATTAATTCCAAATGGAGAGGTATATGTTATCACATCTCATTAACTTTTCCTCTCTGGTTTAGTTAGCATATCTCTACAAGTTCAGTTAAATTTTTCAGCTGAGACAGCTGCACGGCCCATGGGGTTTTCTTGACCATCAAGCACTAGCTGTTCTTTCTTCCCCATTCCATTTGTGCAAGCATGCAGTACAGTTGAGCTCTGAAGTTTTAGTCTTTTTTTTTTTAATTCCCTAATTTTTTTAAACAAAGACTAGTGTTGGTAATACCAAGTAAAGCTGTTACTGCCTTAGTGGAGCTTTCCAGTTCCTTATGTTTTGGGTAGATCAAATTTAATTTGATCTTTGGGCATTGATCCAGATGCTTAAGAATGTTTGACCTTATGGAGCACTCTTATAGATGGGGTATGCTAAATATCTGGATAAAGAGGTGGTCTTCATACAAAGTATGTTGGCTCAGTTCCAGCATGTTTTTGAGTTCCCTTCTCTCTCAAGCACCTCTGTTCAAAATTCTGTTACTTGGCTAAGATAGTCAAATCCTCTGAGAGGGAAGGAAATGTATCGTAGCAATTTTTACTTTTGTTGCACTTCTTAAAGAACAGTAGTTGTGTAGACTAATTCTAGGTGAAAGGTATAGTTGTTTTGTTTCTTGATTGTAGTGTTTTATACATAACTTGCTAACAACTTTTTTTTTTTTTTCCTACATATAGGCTCTGTTTGTAGCCTCTAAGCTGAAGGTGTTTGATCATATGAAGGATAAAGGTCCACTAAAGGCTGTGGATATTTCAAATGAGGTTGGAGCATCTGTGTGTGGAACAGAAAGACTCCTTGATGCATGTGCTGCTCTTGGATTGCTGGAGAAAACACCACAAGGTGATGAATTTCTCCTACACCCAGCTACATATGGTACTGAAAGACATGCAGGACTGGAAGAGATGCTTTAGAGGTCACAGGGTCTGACTTGATTGTGTTGGGTAACTTGGATTTGGGGAAAAGGATTGTTGCTTCTTTGCTTTCATCATTAACTGTAATTTTCATTTGGCGCAGGCTTTATCTAATGAACACCTTCAGGTCTCCTTTGAGAAGTTCTTTAGATTGCTTTTCATATGGACATATTGCTGCCCAAATTTCTATGAAAAAGTTGCATGGGCAGTCTCAGGGAGCAGTGGAAAAGCTCTGATGTATCACGTGCTCTTGGGTCACGGTACAGGCTTGGGGAGGAGCAGAAAAGGACTGGGGAGTGTTGGTCAGCAGCCACCTCGGCACGAGCCAGCAGTGTGCCCAGGTGGCCAAAAAGGCCAATGGCCTCCTGACCTGTATCAGAAATAGTGTGGCCAGCTGGAGTAGGGAAGTGATTGTCCCCCTGTACTCAACACTGGCGAGGGCACGCCTTGAGTACCGTGTTCAGTTTTGGGCCCCTCACTAGAATAAAGACACTGAGGTACCCAAGCATGTCCCAAGAAGAGCAACAAAGCCGGTAAAGGGTCTGGAGCACAAGTCTTAGGAGGAGCGGCTGAGGGAGCTGGGGTTGTTTAGCCTGGAGAGAAGGAGGCTGAGAGGAGACCTCATTGCTCTCTACACCTACCTGAAAGGAGGTTGTAGTGAGGTCAGGGCCAGTGTTCAACCAAGTAGCAAGTGATAGGACAAGAGGAAGTGGCTTCAGGTTGCAGCAGGGGAGGTTTTGATTGAATATTAGGAAAAATTTCTTCACCGAAAGGATTGTTAAGCGTTGGAACAGGCTGCCCAGGAAAGTGGTAGAGTCACTATCCCTCAAGGCATTTAAAATGTGTAGATGTGGTGCTTAGGGATATGGTTTAGTGGTGGACTTGGTAGTGTTAGGTTTATGGTTGAACTCGGTGATGTTTAAGGTTTTTCCAACTTAAACAATTCTATGATTCTATCTAAAATAAGATTCCATTCCCTACTGCCATAACGCAGAGTCACAATATTTAGCAGAGAATCAAGGTTTTAATGAGGAGAGGTCTGGAATGTGCTTCTCTTCATGGGCAACAGCTTAAATTTTAGTGCCTCTAGCTTGGAACAGTGCTTGGAGGTGTATGTAGGTGGGGGAGTCATTATTGGGATTAACTTTTTCAGGCTGCACTGTGTAGTTACAGGTTTCTGTATGCATCATTTACATATTAAGACCTGAAAAGGTCAAGTGCCAAGAAAAGGAAATAAAGCTGGCTTTTAACTCTTGTTAGAGGACAAGACTAAGGAGAAGGTCTTAAAGGAAAGCATACGAGAGAAAGCTTGAATTTAAGGGAGTAGCCATAATCTAAAGACAAATGTGGTCAATAATGAGTAAATTCTCATACTTTCCCTTGAATATTATGTTATTATGTGTCTCACTGAGGTAATCTGTTTTTAAAAAAAAAGTCTGCCCTCCAGCATCTAAATTCTTTTTATTGGCAAATTACTTGCTCCTTTTAAGAATAAGACATTTCAAATTATTTTATAGAAATCTGCACACAAAATAGTATAATAAAATCAGGAGTTGCTGGCTATTTAACAGCTATGCAGGAAAACAAGCCTTCAGATTTTAAATGACAGGTGCTAAGTACGGAAATAAAGCTGGTTGCAATTGTTTTCTTCCCATAAGGCTACAGTAATACAGATTCAGCAAATACCTACCTGACCTCAGATGGTGCATATTCACTTCATGGCTACATTATCCACTCTAATGACCACCTTTGGCCTCTCTTCACAAACTTGGAGTCTGCTGTCAAAGAAGGCAGCAGGCAGAACCATCGAGCCTTTGGAAAGAAAGCAGAGGATTTGTTTAAGGTAATAACTGTTATTAGTATCAAAACTGGCTGTGAGGAGCCCAGAACTGATATAGGAGCAAATGGAGACTGAGCCATCTAAGAAGGCTGATCATTCTCAGAAATAATAGAAACACAGTGCAACCTGCTAGTGACAGACTTCTGCTGCCTTCAACTTCAGGCTCTGAAGTGCTGGAGCAATCACAGAATTTACTGGGAACTTCGAGTGCTGAGGAAAATTCTCTGATGAAAGTGTTGTCCACTCAGCTGACACGCTCTCAGAACAACCTCTGGGCCTGTTTTACTTTTATGAGGCCTTTTTATAACACCAGGTTGTACTTTATCACACATGCATTCCATGTTGGTTTCCACCCACTTGGTACTGATACGCATCCAGGTCAGTCTGTGCTCACAGTGTATTCAAAGCTATTTTCAAAGTCATTTTGTGTTGATGCAGTGGAGAAAGGAGCCAGTCTCTTTTATGGTGGTTTGTAGTTTTCTATGTATTTCCAACTGGTATATGTTGCTGATAAGAGTTGTAATCCTTCCTTCCATTTCCATCTCTGTAGTATTCCTTTTGCAGTGCTAGTCCAGGTGGATGTGTTTAGACTGGAAAATCACTTAGAGTTGTAACTAGCCTCACCTGTCAATTATCAACTTGGTGGAGCAGGTTGTGAGGCATAAATATTTGTGCCTGTTTAAGGAAAGGGCTAGTAGAGTAAGCAGGGGAACATATTGTGACTTCATCTCTGATAGCACTGCTGCCTTAAAGTGTACTTCAGACTACAGATTCTTAATTTGTACTTAACTTCTAGATGCCAATGAAACCAGTCTCCTGAAGGAGATGTCTAAATCCCTCATATATAGTTGATGGAAGGAAATAAGAGCTTTTGGAGACTTAAGAAGGTCCTAAATGCTAGTACCTATATTACTGGTGGACAGAACCTCCTTTAGGATCCTTCAGAGGCCCTTTTAAAGGGACTTTAGATACCTGGCTTTAGGGTAGGTACTGTAGTAGGTGTCTAAACTTATGTGCAGGTTTAATCATTTTAACGTAGGTAAACTGGATCTCATCCTTTGTTAAACATCTGGATTACCCACTTGAGTTTGGGTGATGCTCGCAGCAGGAGTTGCTACCAGTTCAGGGCTGGGCTCCATATGTGTGCAGGTCAGTATGTCCAAGCACAATATATGGGCTCCCTATGGCACTGTGCATACCACAGCCTGGAAATTCTCCTGTTTCGTGGTAGCTGTAAAACCAGATGTAACTTATGAAGTCTGCATGAAGGTATGACATAAAGGGGCTCATGTTTATGTATCATTTCAAAGATGAAGTCATGAGGTTTGCTGATACTGAATGCTTGTATCTCACCTAATCAAAAAAACCGCAGTATAGACCTTAATGTGTCTGGTTTAAATTACAGCCCAATCATCTAGTTATTATCCCATCATGGGAGAATAAATGTCAGAATTAAATGACAGCAATTTGTGAGTATATGAAAAAGGAGGAGGACTTAGGAGACTGAAAGAAAAAATTCAATCTGTCCTTTCCAACAGTTTCAACTTTGGAGATGTCTTGCTGTGGAGCAACTGCGTTAGTAAACGTATATCAAAAGTACACTATTTCTTTGAAAAGCACTTTTCAGATTACCCCTTCTTCTTGCTGTGCTGTCCCAGCTTCAATGGGCAGAAGTGGTGAATTTAATAACCCTTGGGACATCATCAAGATCAGGTTGAAAGCAGCCAAGTGTGCATCCTTATAGACACACTACAAAAGATGTCTGTGTGGTCAGAATTTTTGAGAGGATACAAAAATCTGCTCATCGCTATAGTGAAATGGCAAGGGACTTGGATGAGTGGCTAGTAAATGGCACTTCTAACTGGTCTTTTAATTTTAGAATTCTGATGTTAATGGTGTGCACCTACTGCCTTGGTTGTGCAGTTTTAGTTACATAGTGAAAAAGAATTTCAATTACTTTTTTTTTTTACCCTTTTTAGGTCTATTATCACAGCCAGGAGGCGAAGCAACGTTTTATGGCTGCCATGCATAGCATTGCCCACCTGACAGCAAGAGATGTGGCTACAGCATTTGATCTTTCACAGTTTAAATCTGCTTGTGATTTAGGAGGTACTGCCTGTAATTGAAGTTACATACAAATTAAAAGGAAAAGCTTGATTTCAGTTTTATATTTCCTTACTTAAAACATATGTGCATATTTTTTTACTAGAACTACAATAATATTATCTACTCTTATTTTTCGGGTATTATAATGTCAGAGTAAAAGGACTGAGTACAGTTAACTGAAAGCAGAGTTACTGAAATGGTATTTGAGAAGTTTGAAATAAGTGAATGGTTGATGCAATCAGTTCCATACTGACCCAGCTCAACACAGAAAACAGGATGGTTAGTAGCTCAGCTGATGAAATATTGGGCTGAGAGTTCTGTTTTCAGCTGTGCTATTGCTGTCCTTCGGTAGGTCTAAGATTTTCAAAAGTCACTAAATATTTGTATCTAATTACTTCTAGACTGTGATGTCAAACTTGAAACACTGCACTGCTAGAACAAGTGTCTTGATTCTTTTAGAGTTGGTTTGTTTTGTGTGGGTTTTTTTAGTTATTCATATCTAAGATAACCACCAAAGTGTTGAAGATCAATGATACACCTGAAGAAACTCTTGTTAGAATCCTTTTTTTGCCCTGTGCTTGGAGTTGTACAGAGGGAGTGTTATTACACAGGGAAAGATCCACTGTAAAAGGAACACTTTACTTACTGCCTGGGGAAGTGGACAGTGTGTCAGAGAACTTCCCACAGTACTGGTGTGACCTTTGTCACTTGTGCAGAGACTTCAAGACTTTACTATCCCTGTGTTTCACCATGCTGGAGAGTATTTGTCAAACCTCCTGTATTAGCGCTTTATAAATGGTCAATAGTTCTAGTGGTCCCTACCCACAAATTAAAAGTCCTTGCCCTTTTATTAATGTTATGCTAAAACATATACTGAAGCACTGGTATCAAAGGTCATATTAGCTATTATATGGCAGTATGGAGTTGTGCCTGCATTGCTCAAGCTTTAAAGCATTGTTCTATCCACCCTGAACTGCTGTTGCCCATGTTAATCATAGAGCTGACTGTCGACCTCTGATTCAATGTCTCTTTTTTAATGTTATAAACAGCCTTGTCTTTAAAAATGTAAGCAAATACTGGGAGAAAAGACTTGATTTGACTTCCTCAAACTTCCAACAGGTTGCACTGGAGCTCTGGCTCATGAATTAACACAAATATACCCAAATCTCAAGGTCACAGTATTTGACCTTCCGGAAGTCATTTCAAACATCTCTAACTTTCAGCCTTCAGGCCAACATGCTGCTCAAGTGACATTTGTCTCAGGTAAATGTTTTGTCTTATTTCTGTTATTCCAGAGCACAGAGCAGGCTCTTGTGCTGCAGAACATGGTGTGCTACCCTGCTCCGACTCCAAACATGCCATAGTACAGGACAATGTAGGCTAAACAAGGACATTGTATTTTTCAAGCATGTGGAGATAAAACCAAACTGGCTGTGGCTGGAGAACATGTATAAATAAGGAAGTACAAATTAGTAATTTTTGAGTACCATTAGGTGTACTGCATGTCTTTATCTCAGGCTGCATGTCCTTGTCTCAGGCTTTTATTTTCTAGGCAAGATCAACACATAAGGGACTTCAGTATCTCCTTCCTTGCTTGAGGATTTCTCTCAATTTTCATGGTACAGAATTCTTACCTGTGATCTGTTCTTCTCTTTAACTACACTTTCTTTATCTGCAAATCAGTGCATACCTCTACCTGTTCATTCTTGTTTCTTTCTTTCTTTACCTCTGCTGAAGCTCCTACTTCCTCCACAGTATTTTCATTTCGTTTTGTAGAAATGTGCTCTGTGGTTTCTGTAGGAATGTACTAATTCTGCTTTCCAACAGGTGACTTCTTCAAGGATAATCTTCCAGAAGCCGACCTTTATATCCTTTCACGTGTTCTTCATGACTGGCCTGATGAAAAGATACATGTTCTATTAAGCAAGATATCAGCTGTTTGCAAACCAGGTAAGTTTTATTCATCTTGTGGACTTAAAGATACATGTTAATGCATAAACACAATGAATAAGCACAAGAAGTTCACATTAAAAAGAAAAATCTTTCTTTCCCATCATCGTAGCCTTTTCTTGAATGACTATGCTTGCCTTATGGTAATACCTACTAAGGAAAAAAAAAGAAACAAAGCTGCTAATAAAACTATATAAATCAAGCCTTACTATAGTTGCAGGCTTCACATACAACCACATCATCTCCCCTATCTCTGTCATGCCCAGTCTTTCTTACTAACCTCTTGTATCATGAAATACGTATACATATGCTTATTTCTATACGTACAAATAGTCTTAACTAAAGTTGCTTTAGGTTAATTGAGAAGCAGCAGTTTGTTTTGCTATCTCAGTGTAGTGCCCATAATATGGAGTTCAGCACTACTTTATGCAGTTTTCCTGAGAAATATGTAGCCTCTTCTTTCTCTTACATTTGAACCATAGAATATCTCAAGTTGGAAGGAACCCATAAAATCATCAAGTCCAACTCCCTGCTCCTCACAGGAGTACCTGAAATTAAACCATATGACTAAGAGAGTTGTCCAGACACTCTTTGAATTCTGACAGGCTTGGTGCAGCGACCTCTTCGCAGGGAAGCCTGTTCCAGTCACTCTCTGGTCACCAGAGAGAGGAGATCAGCGCCTTCCCCTCCGCTGTCCCTCTTGAGGAAGGTGATGAGGTCATCCCTCGGCTGCCTTTTCTCCAAGCTGAACAAACTGAGTAGCCTTATCCACTCCTCCTAAGTCTTGCCCTTGAGACCTTTCACCATCTTGGTTGCCCTCCTCTGGACACACTCTAATAGCTTGATGTCTGTTTTACTGTGTGCAGTATTGTGTCCATGTGTCTGGGGTGTCCTGGAGTCTGCAGGACACTCAAAGCACCGGTGCAGTGTAGAGTTGGGACAGTCACCTGCCTTGACCAGTTAGTAATGCTGTGCTTGATGCACTTCAGGATATAGTTGGCCTTTTTGGCTGCTAGGGCACACTGTTGGCTCATATTTGGACAATAGTAAAGATCAAAGGAGAAGACAAAAAGCAGAAAAGCCCAACTGCCAAGATCAACTGATTCTGTAATCCAGCAAGATCAATTGTAGCTATGAAGTTTGTTTCATAGGACAGCAGTCAAAATTAGATCTAGGATATAAAGCATAAGCCTGTTTATAAATAATGAAAGAAAATTGTAGGTGACTGTCTTACCCCAATCTTTGCCTAAGAAGGTTATGACAGAGGTTTCAGGGAGTTGCTTGGTTCAAACAAACAAGACTGAGTTTACGAGCATAGTCAGGAAGTGATCTGAACTTCACTGAAGTGGAGACAGTGCTCTAAACTCCTCCTTCCTTTATAACAATTAAATGGTTGCTTCCAGGAAGAGATTACTGAAAGTAAAGTTCTGTCACTGATTTTCAATGAAGACCATTAAAACACTAGCCTGAGGGACCTCTATAACTGTCTCTGAACAAAATCCTGAAAACTTAAAGCTAGAAATAATTAACTGAACCACTTTTGGTTGTTTTGGAAATGCAGGAGGTGCCTTGCTAGTGGCAGAAATTGTACTTGATGAACAGAAGATGTGCCCTCCCAGAGCTGTACTACAGTCCCTCAGTATGACTGCAGGCAAGCAGAGAAGTGGCTCAGAATATAAAGAGCTACTGGAGAAATACGGATTCACAAATGTACAAGTTAAGATCACAGGAAATTTATTAGATGCTGTTTTGTGCTTCAGGAAGAGTGAGGCACTGTAGTGTGCCAGGAAGCAAACTGCGATGCCGCGTTTTTACAACACTTGAGCCATAGACCCATCATCAACCAGCATGTATTTTCAGTTTAGGGTCCTTTTGACCCTTTGTCTGAAGGACAGTTGAATAAAAGTTGGACTGCAGCTTCTGCAGGAGTGAGTTCCATGCGTTTAAAAAGTGGCATGGCATGTTAAAACTGTGTGCTTTTATGAGCCACGTTAATACCTTAGTTTTCTTTGACCTTAATATTAAAAAGAATTCTTACCTCCGCGGTGTGTTCAGTGGTTACTGCTCATTTTTATCAGAAGTGAAAAAATAAAAATGAACACTGTGCCACCTGTCTCATTTGGGGATGCTAGTTCTTTTTTCACTTTTCTATGGGGCTTTACTTAGTTGTCTCAAGAATACCCTTTTTTTTTTAAAGCACTCTTTCAGAAGGCAAAAGTGAAAATAGGACAAAGCTCAAAACAGGTTCCTACAGCAGTTACAATGTCACAGAAACTTGAGCAGCCTCTGACCCCTAGCCCCAGTATGTACCCACACAGGCTGCAGCTGAGAGCTGTTCCTATCAGTTTTGGGTTTTTCTGAATATGGTTAAATGGTCATATATGCTTTCTGTCTCATTATATGAGATGAGTTTTAGGATTTACATAAAAAAATCTCTTACAGAAATGAAAAATGGAAGTTTCTTCATGTTCCAGTCTTTAATTGGAGAAGTACTGTATCCCATCAATTCAAGTAATGTGTCACTAGTGTCATCTTTCCTAATGTTTATTTTTATCTGATACTTCACTGATATTTATTTTTTTCTATTTAAACTGTACTTTGTAGTAGAAGTCTTCCTGGAGATTAAAGTTGCACTTACAACCTAGCTTTTTTTTTCTCTATCAGTTGTGAAAGTTTCTTGCCTGTCACACTTCTACAGCAGTAATCCCAATAAACGTGTGAAAGAGGCCGTGCCTGTGCTGAATCACTAACCTCAGCAAATTAAAGAGAGTTGATGATCAAGGTCAAGAGTTGTATCTGCCTGGTAGACTCTGTCTTACGTTAATTAATCAGAAGTTACTTTGCTCTTTGAGCACTAAGTGAAGCAAATGTGCCACAGTGATGGAATTCCTTATGAGAAATGTACTTACTACAGAGCATTTCAGCTGCACAAAATCAGGGGAATGTCAGACTTTTGCCACGCTGGGGTTTTTAATTCTTACCAGGTTTTTATGAATGGAAATTTGACTGATCTCATCTGTACAGACATTTAAAGAGATAAAGAAAAATACTAACTGAATAAATTTTAAATGTGGTTTATTGTTGTTTTCTCTGTATGGACATGAAGCTTGCCATTATGCTTAACATGTTTGTATTTTAAGAGAAGCTTATTCCAGCAATCAGATGTTTCTAATCTCAAAATTATTCATAAAGTTCATAATGCTATTCTTTAAGCTGCTGTAAGCTGTTTGAGTCAGAAAATTTCAGCCTTAAAGTTGGCACACCTGGAACTGTCACAGGCATTAAAACTGTGCCTCTAAGTACTATATATCTGCCTATAAAATTTGACTAGAATGTGCTTAGCTACTTTACAGCCTCAATGCACTCTGTGATTAGAGCACAGCACTGGATGCCCACTAAGCATTAGGCCCTTGGGCACGGTGTCTTGTGGTAACGCACTGCAGCTTTGCACTCTCAGGATAATTAAGCACTGGAGCACATTGCCTGCAGAGGTGGAATCTGCCCTTGGAGGTTTCAAGACCTGAGAACAAAGCCCTGACTAAGCTGAGCTGACTGCAGAACTACCTCACTTTGAAAGAGACTGGAGATCTCCTGTGGTCCTTTTCAGCCTAAGCTCTTCTGTAATCATTTGATGTAGCCCAGTCACCTGAGAAATGATAAACTTCTGTCATTAATTGAGATTTTCAGTTACTCTGGAGAAAGCTGGGATCTTGTTCTGACTGGTAGATGGGATGGATTTAATGGTGTTACACTGAAAAGACTTCCTAAGGAATAGATGTAATCAAGATAAAAATGAGCCTGTTTGCTAATCAAGACATGAAAAATGCAGAGCCTAAGTTTTAAAATCCAAATAAACTTCTGCTAATAAAGCCTGCAGGTTTTGTTTTGCTCCTTAGGAAGTGACATTTGGCTATGTTTTCCTGAGGATGCTGTCTTTTACCCATGTTGTGCCTTAACGATTTAGAGGAAACATGATGCACAGAAAATAATTTTTGGAGTTGGAGAACTGGGGGGGTGAACAGGATGATGGACGAACAATAGAAACAAGACCTTCAGGACTCCCTCACTGAATGATGAGGTATGAATCCTTGAGGAAGATAGAAGTTTCTAAGAAAGATGAGGCACAACAAGGTTGGCTGTCCTAACTCAGTCATTTTTACGTTAATTTTTGACCTCATTACAGCTATTAACAGTAATTGTGCCTGGAAAAGTAATGGGACAGAAGTGAAGGGGTCGTATGTCAGTCATCTGAGCCACCCAGCGCAAAAGTTTAGGAAGAGCTATTTAATGGCTAAGCCCCTTTGTGTGAGCTCTCCATTCAGTTTTGGATGCATTAACTGACTCCTGGATAGTGGAAGTATTTAATATGAGGTTTCATTTTGATTTTAAAAAAGTTTTTGGAGGACTGGCACTTCACTTTCCCATCTTTTGGCTGGACATTATGTCCTTGATAAACAGTGACAATCTGTATTAAAGGACCTTATAATGCAGAAAAGACTGTTATGACCATTAATTTTTATCTGCTGTAAAACCATGGCCAAAATTTCAGGAAGCAAAGCATGCTTCCTGAAAGGATTGAAAGTTAGTTCTGTTTCAGTCTCTCTCATAAAGAAGTTTCAACTACATTAGTAAATCTTCATTAGCTGCAGAGAGAATTCTTTTTTTTAATTTTTGCCTGTTACTGTGCCTAATTTTCGAAGGTGATCTTCCCGCATAGGTTGTGCTTTCTGGGTATATTTTTTTAATTTCAAAGTACCCTGATGTTATCTGGATGTCCCAAATAACTTCCCTTGGCAAAATATAGCAACCGTTCTATTTGTGTTGTCCATTTAGATTTTAAAATATTTCGGTGCTGTCTTCTGAAGCTGTAACATAATGGTGATTTAGAAATTATAATTTTGCATTAATCTACCTAGCAACGCTTGCTGTGTGAGCAGGAACAGCGATTCGCAGGTGTCTCTGTTGAAGGATCACACAGGAAGACAGGGAGGGAATAGAAACCCCTGAATCATAGCAGATGTGCTTTATCACCCAAACTTTAGATACTAAGTACTAGGCTTTTGAATCATTTAGTCACCCTGAGCTCTGCCAAGCAGTAGAAAACCAGGCATTTTGAGAGGATGATTGATTCCTCTTGCCTACTTGTGAAAGGAAATTTCCTGGTTTTCTTAAGAAAAGTGAATTTACGTTTCATAGTGGGTGGAGCATATTTCAGAGGGATAGCTGAAATGCAGTTATCTAATCTATGGATGACTGAAATAGGGCAGAAGAGTCCCACAGGACACATAAATGTAGGTTCAGGCTCACTTCAGACATGCTTGGCTAATGCTTTTTCTTTGTGAAGCAAACCTGTGTCATTGGTTCATCACAGGGGAAGTGGCTTGAACTTGCATTGAGAAAGGTAGCTCAATATGGGGAAGAAACAGGGAATTTGTTAAACTGTTGGAAGGAATTTCATGACTCCTGATGTTTAACACCGAGGTGTCAGCCAGCATTTTATCCACAGATGTCAGTTTCTTCTCTAAGAAACTGCCCTGTTACACTTAATTTACTTTTTATCAATTGTTCAATGTGTGAGGTGCACAGGTAGGTATGGCTCTGAGGAGAATGTCAGAAAGATGGGGATGGTAGTACTAAAATCAATGGAAAATGCTGCTATTTTGATCTGAGTGGGTAGCTTCTTACACTCACTGTGCCAAGAGAAACCACCACACAAGATGCAGAGCCAAAAGACAAGTAAAATGACATTTGTTTTGTCAGTAGCCCTCTCGTCTTCCTTTTCCCCTCACGGGTCTGAAGATGGAGGAAGAGGCCATCTGTAAAGAGGATCATTTGCGTTCTGCTCACATCCCTAGGTCAATCCCACCACAAAGACCTCAGTTCCTACAGAAATAGTGTACAATATGGACTTCTCTGCTTCTATAAAGTTTGCCATCCCCCACTTTGTCTGCTTGGCACCATTTCAATATGAATGTGATATAACGGCTATTCCTAACCATCATGCCAAGCCTAGAGGAGTCATCCTCTCTTGCCCTGGAAACACAGACGTGACTTGACTTGTGTTTAATGCCTCCATAATGTAGAAGGGAATTTCCCGGATTTTGTGAGAGGAGCAAATAATACATTTAATAGTGGGTTACTCATTTAATAGCAGAGCAAAATACAACCTGTGGCTTGTAGTTTGCACCCTTATATACGCTACCAGAAATTCTCTTGCCTTATAATGGAATACTACTGTTGCATGCCTTTGTTTTTAAATTAGGCTGTGGGGTTTTGCTGGCTGAAATGGTGTTGGACGATGAGAAGAAGAACAGGAGTGCAGCTCTGCTGCAATCTTTGAACATGCTGGTGCAGACAGAGGGAAAGGAGAGAAGTGGCTCCGAATATCGAGGCCTACTGGAACAACATGGATTCACAAATGTCAAAATCCGATTGACGGGGAATTTGTTAGATGCCATTCTCTGTGTTAAGACCTAGGAAAAAAATGGATTTAGTAATAAAATCTGGCTGTCTCTTGTCATGTTTGATGCTTTGAAATTATGCAAATACATTCTCAGTTTCCCATTAGTATCATAAACAGGAAATGTTATGTCAGCTTTCTGAAGTTACTTTTACAAAGGGGGAGTGACTGACTGCATTTGTTGTAAATTTGAGTAAAAATATGCCAGAAGATTCTGGCATCATATGATGGCTGTGTTACTGCGGCTGCACAACACTTGTAGTACCCTCAGAAGCAAGTCTCCAACCACGAATGGTGTCAGCAGGCCTACGGCAGTACTCACGTTGCTCAGAAATCTGTTTCTTCATACTTGGTGCTATTAGAATACTCCAGCTTTTAGACCGTCACACACTGCTTTGCCCCTCTTTCAGGAGGTTAGTGCAGGTATCTCAATACTCCATCGCCATCCGTTTTAATACAATTTATGTTACAATCTCTTATAAATAAACATTCCTAATGAAGTCTGGAAACTGCTCCTGCAATGGCGTAGTCAAGATTGGAAACAGGAACTGGAACAGCAGCTTCTCAGGAGAATCAAGACAGACTCCTCCTCTGCCTTCTGTGAGGTTTCGGGAAAAAAGCAGTTGCATGAAAGAGCAAGTTTCGTCTGTGACTGTAATTGGAGATGAGATTTAGTGGCACCACATTAGATTTAAGAGCCTCCTCCTCCTTGTTTTAGCCCTACTTAATTTGTGAGCTCCTACGAAAGTGGATAGCAGAGCACGAGATTAGATAAAGAACAGGAAAGGAAAAAAAGAACGGAAACATGAGAAAATGCAAGGTGCTAAAGATAAAAGGATTTCCCCCAGTCAGATGTGTCTGAGCTCCCAACGTGACTGGGACAGGACAACTATTGACTGGAGTTCCATGTCACAAAAGTTACATACGTTTTACCTTCATTTTTCAAACCAACGACACTTTCAAGGCCTAGAATACAAGGTTCTCTTTTATTCTGTAGAAGATTTCATGGGGAAAAGAATCCCAGCCTTGCATACATTGTGTTGTGTCTAACAGTATTTACATTCAGTCACGAGCCTTTGTTTAAAAGAAAACTACTGCGCTAAGCTGCACATGCCTGCCTGAGAACACGCACCACAGCCTTCCATTGATTTCATCTTGTAGCAAATATGCCCTATGTGGGCACATCAGTTGACTGTATCTGTATTATGATTTAGAATTCAAAACAGCACACAGTGTACTTCACCTCTTTTGATGTGCAAAAAAAAAAAGTACAGTAACACATAACACACAGCATACTGTACCACAGCAGGGCCAAAGGCTACACCTGTTCTCACAAGTCCTCTGAGGGAGATGCTTTCATTTTGAAATCTTGGCAAAGTACATACATGTGTAAGCAGTGGTTTCGGACACCTCAGCTACTGCAACTTTGTGGTTCACGAGTCATCTATTAAAAAAAAAAAGTATGTTTGGCTTTGTTTTGTAGGAAACGTTCATTAAAAGTGAAAGCAATAACCAAATGTGTGCACAAACTAATGCCCTCAAGTTAGAACAATTTCAAGACTTACTTTTAGAAAGAATAGCTATAATTTCAGACAGAAGTTTGGCCGTTAGGTGCAAAATTTCACTTTCAGCATACAGTAGAATTATCAGAAATTACTGACAGACACAGGGCCTGTCTTGGTAGGGGTAGAGGCCCTGCCCTGGACACCTGCTAGGGCAACCTGCAGGTGAGCTTTTCACAGCATCTAACTTTGAATGTCTGAGCAAGAAGCTGGGACCACACTTCCCAGTCACCCCTCTAGGAAACCGTTCTTTGGCTTTGGAGCAGCTCAGTGATGGGCAGCAAAGCCCCAGTGTTGCGTGACACCTGGCACCACCATCGTGTGGAGAAGCAGCTGGGAACAGAACCTGGAAACAAGGAGATGCCTTCAACCAGCATTACTCTGAGGCTGGTGAGCAGGGAGCACAATTGATCAGTGCCCCAAACCCGCTCCGCTCCACCTAACAGCTGCTGCTGCCACCCAGGGCCCCACACACAAGCTGTGCCTCCATCCCCCACTGGCTTCCACCAGTCACCACTAAACGAGGCTCCCAGCTCGCTGGGTTGTGCTGCCTGCTGACCGGCCGGGCGCACAGACCCGTACCCCAATTCCGCTGCTCCATCGGCCTCGTGCCCTGCCCCGTGTCCGGCTGCCTGGGCCACGCCGTGTCGGTGACCCGTTCGGTTGTG